GGTACAAAATAAAAACCAGGGAGAGCTCACTGCAGATCTACAGCCCTCCGAGCCTGGACGTCGACTGAAGCCCCCTTGCGTGTGCGCCCCTGACTCAGGCCGTGGGGCCGGGCACACAGTCCGTCCACACAGGCAGTCGGGCACAGCCGGGAGGGGGTCTGCCAGAGGCCCAAGAAGACTCTCTGGGCATCAGAGCCTGCGGTCAGAGGCCCAGCCCGCCTGGTGCCGGGATCCCGTGTCCCTGTGTGCGCGCTTCGCAGACTGGCAGCTGCGACAAATGGTCTTACCCTTGTCTAACCTTTGTCGGGCAATGCTCGCTTCAGGGTTTGACTACTAGGGTATGGTTTCAGTTTAACAGCGGAAAGGCTGGTCCTGAGCAGAAATTGGAATCACTGGGACATACAGGGCAATGCCACGTATTTTTAGGCTAAAGAGAGATGGAGTTTCAGTTCAGATAAAATCTAGAAGGTAGTTCTGAGCTCCAAAGGGACTGTTTGCTCTGAAAGACAAGAGTGAGTCATCTGTTGAAATATTGTTACTCCTAAAAGTAAACACAGCCGTGAAAGTAAACACAGCCGTGTAGACGTGACATTCAACATTTGATGCGTTTAACAACCGACTAAGCCGCACTAAACGAGGCGAAACTACGAAGACAACCAGCAAACAGAGTTAGAGGTGTGAGAGCTGCAGTCCTGCCCTGATGCCTGGATGACTTATTTCTGCTTTACAACTGCACTGTGTTTACAGTTACAAGTGAATGAAAGTCCCCAGTAATAATTGCTCAGGCAGAGTCATTAATGAATCCTAAAGTCGGTGAGCAAGATATGATAAGAAACAGAATATTGAAAGTATCTCCCCACAAAAATACTCATTAATTACAAAAGTAGAAACAGTAACTTCGCAGCGGAGATAGCCGGCGGTCGCCGCCTGGAACAGAGGTCCCAGCTAACCCCAGTGGGACCGGAACAGAGAAGCCGCGGACAGCCTGGCAGGAAGCCCTGAAGGGGACACATCATGTCTGTGGTGTTCTGGCCAAAAATGCACAACCTGGATTTGAACCAAGGAAGCGTCACATAGACGCGAATTAAGAACATTCGAGAAGATGCTTTTCAAAGGTGAGAAGGTCATGAGATACAAAGGTGAGGCTCTGTTCCAGGGAAAAGAGGCCGAGGTGACAGGATCATCAGACGCCCCATGGATCCTGGGCCTAAAAAAGGGCACTGCTGGAAAACTGGCAAGATTTGAAGTCTTATTACAACATTGTATCAATGCTGGTTTCCTGGGTTTGATCCTCCCCCACTGGGCCATACAGGATGATACCATTTGGGGGAATAAAGGTGAGGCTTGTATGGGAACTCTTTCCAGTGTTTCTGCCACTTTTTCCTTAACTCTGATACTGACTCAAAACGAAGGTTAAAAATAAATCAGTTTAAGTGAGTTAAAGGATCTCCATTCAGCAATTATAAGGTAGGTGGTAGGGACCCTTGTTCTACAAAGCGCCTCCTCCCCAGCCTCAGAGGAAACAAGAACTTTAAGTGTGGAAAACATAATAGTACCACATAAATACTGAAGCATGCGGCGTGGGTTTCTTTTTTCCTGTAATTGTGTAAAATCTGCAGGTTTTTCATCAAGATGAGCAACCTGAGCTGCGATGCTGGAGAGCTGGTGGGTGGCTCGGCCTTCCCACAGAGCACAGCATGCCAGCACCGCTGCTGAAGCCAGGGGGCTCCGGCCCGGTTCCTCCGAGCTCTGGGTCGGCCGTAAAGCAGCCTGTGCTCAGAAGCACGAGAGGACAGTGCAGGCCGAGCTCCACCGCTCTCCTACAGCACAGCTGTGGCCATGCAGCCACTGCCCCCCAGGGAGCTCCCGGCTACGTGCTGCAGGATGGCGGCTGAGGGGACGGCGGCCTAGGGACCCTGCTCTCCGGAAGCCATACAGGAAGTCTCGGGCTCAGTCCCCATGCCTAACCCCCCAGGGCTTCCTCACCCCACAGAGTGGGCATGGGATGGGCCAGGGTCCTCTGCACGGGATGGGACAGGGCCCACGTTCGCCACCGGCCACGTCATATGGGCCTGTGAGCTGCCGACTCCTTGCAGCCTCCCCCCTCCGTTGCCACCTTCTCAGCATGCTCAAGGCCAGGCCGCTGTCTTAGAGGAGCAATTTGCATTTTATATCAAAACCTGGTGCCACACATAGCCACGGCAGAGACTTGGGACCAGCAGGCACCTGGGTCTGGCAGGAGACAGGAGACTGGTGGGCTTGGGCCTCCCAAGCTCCTCTTCCTGGAGAGGCAGCCCTGCTCCACACCAGGCCCCAGGCACGGAGAGATCTCTCATCCATTCAATGTCAGCAGTCCTCACACCTGCTGCCAAGCTCTTCTCAATCCCCTGGAGCACAGCAGACCTGCCTCCTGCCCTTGAGAAGGGCCTAGAAGCCTGCAGCTCCCCCAGGCCTGCTTCACACGGCAGGGGCCAGGCACACAGCTGGTCCTGCCTGCTCCCAGAGCCCTTTCTGGCCCGGCTGTTCTCTCTCCCCTCTGGCTCCGGCTCCTGTCCACCAGCCTGCTTCCCAGCCCTCTGGGCCCCGCTCCCCCCCCACCCTCCCGCATGCTTATGGAGCCCCTCCTACCTATCAAACAAGCCGCAATTCTCAAAAGGAATCTGCAGAAGTTCTCAAAGTCAGACAAATCTGAATGCAACCCTGGCTCTGGGCTCGTTAGCTGCGTGTCCTTGGCCGAGTCACCCCCCTTTCCGGTTTCGGTCACCCCATGTGTGCAATAGAGAAAATGATACATACCCTACAGGGTTCTTCTGAGCCTCAAACAAGTGATGTCTAGAATCATGTCATGCAGCAGGGTGCAGGCTGGTCAGCCAATGTTTGGTCCCCTTGATGACGCAGTTCTGTTAACCGAGCGTGCCTGTGGGCACTGTGCCTACGCACTGCACGCTTGTCTCTGTGATCCCGAGGTCACATGTCAGTCCCCACCTGAAGTCAAGTGACTCGCTCCAGGCTGTCCAGGCAGGAAGTGGCAGGGCCAGGACTTAATCCTTCTGACCCCAAACACCAGGCTTCCCGGTCTTCACAGCACAGCTCCCTGCTGCTCCGCCACGTCAGAACCAGGCCGACGTCAACAAATAGGGCCACTGGGAAGCTCCAGAAGCAGGTGCAGATGGAAGCTCAGTGCAGGATTGTCTTGCCAGTGGGTTTCAGCCCCAGGCAAGTTCGCTATGGATTCAGTGTGACCTAAGAAACTGACAGCAAAACGTTCTTTGGAGTGAAAGGGTTTATTACCCGGCTTGTTCTCCGGTGGTAGGTTGAGCACCAGTGTCTCTGCCTTCACCCAGAGCACCGGGCCGAGCTCTCTATACAGCATAATAATAGCTTATTGCCTAAAGGTGTGGAAGCGGCAGCCCAGCAACAGGCCAGTTACATCACCAGGTGGTTTAAGTTCAGTGAGGATCCCGGACACAGGAACCCCGACTTCCCCACAAGCATCCACGGCATCAGACCGTACGGTGGAAGGAAAGAGCACCACAGCCCCGAGCACAGTCACACCGACTGACAGTCTCCTCCCGGCCTGGCTGGGGCCGTGGGGCAGGCCAGCCCACCTGGCGGCTGAGCACCACGCGGTCGTGCGGGGAGGCTGCGGTAAGGCTACCCTGCTATTCAGAGTGTGGTTCCAGCACCAGCAGCATCTGGAAGCTTGTTAGAAGCACAAACCCTCCGGCCTCCCCACCTCTGCCGAGCCGCACTCACAGGTGCTCCACCTGCTCACTGGAGCTTGAGAAGCACGGGCCACGAGGCGGCTTGTCCTTGGCCACTCAGCTGGGGCCGCGGTGCTCAGCCTCGGCTGGATGTTGAATCACCTGGGGCTTTTTTTTTTATTTCAAAGCCAGGGCCAACCCACTTAAATCAGAATCTGCGGGGCCAGGATACGGCATCAGTGTGGCTGCTAAGAGGAAGAAACGGGAAGTCAGGTTCACATCCTCACTCCATTCAGTGACCATGTCACCTGGGGCACGTGGCCCCACGCTCTGAGCTGCAGAGTCCCTGGGGTGGGGGGCAGAGATGACAATATCCAGTCCACAGGGTCGTTTGTCGGGTCTGTGACCCGGGAAACATGAGGGCCTTGAACACTGGCTGAAGTGCCGTAATGGCGGGACCCCTGCTTTCACGTCCCGCCCCCTCTGCCACCCAAACCGAAGGAAAAGAGGCCTCATTTCTTCCGGTTTGTCATTTAGCTCGACCCTCCTCATCTTCAGAGCCCCTAGAAGGCGCAGGAGGACGTCATCCACTCAGCACCGAGTCCCCTGCTGGCCCTGGGGGCCTCCCTCTCCTCACCCCCTGTGCAGGTGACACTGAAGGTGGGGGAGAAGGAGCAGCCAGTCTAGCCGGCAGTCGGCACTTTTAACTCCAAAGTTGTGTCCAAGGTGGACACACATCTCCACACAGCCCCTTCCTTTGAGTGGGGACAGGGTGGGTCAACTGCAAACTAAGGCAGGAGGGTCTGCTGGAGAAGACCGGTGGTCCAGGGTGAGTCTGCAGGCAGGTGAGCGTCGACCCAGGACTGTAGGCTTAACCCAGCTCTGCCTCCGGCTTCCCCAGGCCATTAGACGGATTGTTCAGCCGCTCTGAGGCCCTACCTCTGCCCCCTGAAGGTCCACCACAGACCTCTATGAACCATTGGATACGTTGAAAGATTATGAATAGTCCACACAAAGTTCACTCTTTTGATTTGCTGAGACCAAAAAATGACAGTGGAACTTTCTTGAGGTGAAAGGTTTATACCCAACTTTATTCCCACGGTGGCAGGTCAGTCACTAGCGTCCCATCCACTCAGAGCGAGTCTGCAGGCAGCAAGCTGGTCTCTGCCCCTGGGCCTCTCTGCCCCCGCAGCCGTCTCAGTCCCTGTCCTCGGCACTGCCACCACTCCAGCCTCTGCTCTCCTGCAGCCTTACAGCCCAGAGCCCTGGGCAGAGCTCTTTATATAGAGTCAGTAACGTATTGCCCACAGGTGTGCGTGGAGCAAGCCGACCAGGGTCAGGTGAGAATCCCAGCCACAGGAGCTTTCATTTTCTCTACAGATGCTTATTTTAGAGACATTTGATCGTATCTAAAGCACCTGATAGATAGAAAACAAAGTCTTATTATCCCCATTCTATGAATTTAAAAACAAGCCCACTAATAAAACTGCCCAAAGTCCTAAAGTTCTAGGTGAAAGGAAGGGTCAAGGATAAGGACTTGGAGGCCGCGCTCTCCCACACTGACCAACTGCATCCCGCCGGCTGCATCCGGGAGACACACACGTCCACTTCTACCTCCTCCTGGGAAAGCAGTGGGGGCTGGAGGGTTGTGTGACTGGCCCTGCTTCAGCTCATTGCTAGAAAGAAAGTTTACAAAGTGTGAATTCCATGTTAAAGAGTCACTGAGTGAGGGGGCGGGAACCACACCAAGGCAAATGCAGCGGGCGACAGCCAGGGACACAGGGGGACACAGGCGCACGGCCTTGGAGAGCACTCCCAACCCTCCACAGAGCCCCCAAGACCCACCTCGAGGGGACCCTGGTGTGCCGACCCCCCAGAGCTTACAGGCCCCAGAGGAGGGCTGCGGCCAGGCCCCGCAGCAACCTCAGCACGGGGCTCTCAGGGAGCCGGGGTCACGCTGTGCACACCCAGCCACCGTGGCCACCTGGCCCCTGCCGTGCTCCTCAGACTCTCTCCCCGGTGAGTCTGGCGAGGACAGACCCAGGGGGGCACCTGCCATCTGAGCCGGGTCCTGGGATGGAGAGGAGCCGCTGTGAGGCCCCCACTCCACTCCAGGCAGGTGGAGAACCCGAGTCGCGTGTGCACCCTGAACGGGCCTTTGCCTGCAAGGAAGGTCTCCCAGAGGGAAGCAAGGGAAGGCAGTGAGCAAGGGGCCCCTGAAAGGCCAGCCGTCCTTAGACTGCGGGAGACACCCCAGCGCCCCAATACATCCTTTGCTCTTCTTTCTTTCTCCCCACCACCCCCCAACGTTGGCTGTAGTTGGTTTCTGTTATTAACAACCCAAAGAATTCTGAGTGAGACCCCAGGCAGAGAAATTGCCCACCATCTGGAGACTTGTGACAGGGCTGCCTGCTACCCAAAGAAGGGTCTCCTGCCCCCCAAGACCCTGCGCGTTGGGAAGCGGCTGAAGGTGACTGCAGACCTGGTGGAAGTTTCATGGGGTGATTTAAGGCAAACAGAACACGAGCAATAAGTGAACTGAACAGACCCCTAGACCTAATTTTAAAAAATAAAATAAAATCAGGTGCACTTAGGGTTTAAAGTAGCATCTATCTAGATGCTTCTGATGAAGTATCTCCATACCTCCTAAAAATACTTGTGACACAGAAACAATCACCACACTCAAAATGAAGACTAACCGGAAATCTGTCACCAGACTCTAGAAGGTATTTCCATTAACTACATAGAGCTGATGACGCTGAGCTAAACTGAGACCCTTCACCCTGTAAAACAGAGCAGCCCATCCAACAGAAAGATGGTAGACTTTGTCTTTCTCCCACTTTCCACCTCCAGCTCAGAGACCCAGGACCAAACCAGCCAGAAACGTGGCCCTTCTCTGAGCACAGCTCTTCAAATAGGCCAGAAAGCTGTTCTGTTCCCCCAGACCCGTCTACATCCCTTCACAGACTGCAGTTCCCGGGCAGCCACAGAAACCACGGAGCCAGAGGCAGAGGACTGGCAATGGCCAGTCACATTTTGGAAGGTATTTAGTCCACACATGATGCTCCATAGGCGGGACAGAGGCAGTTGGTGCTGGGGAGAAGTACTCTCAGGGACTCCATCAGCTCTGGGAGCTGTTCGGGAAATGTGCATCTCAACACCCTCCAGCTACAAACCTGAAGGACAGGACAGTGCGTGGAGCCCAGGACAATCCCACCTCCTCTCCGGCAGGAGCACCCAGGCTCCACAGAGCTCGGCTCGCCTGGAGGCAAATGGAGTGAGGGGGGCCTGGGACCTCATGGGACCCACGGAAGGGCAGTGCCCCACAGAGGGAAGGGCACCCCTCCAAGGATGCTTTGCTATCGAAACTAGAAGAAAATTCCAGTGAATTGGCATCTATAATATGAAAAATGCAATGTGGCCCTACGAAGATGAGAACCACACGGGGAAAAAGCGGAGATGAACTGACACCAGGGTACGTGTCGGAGACGCCACCTGACACAACGTTTAAGGTTCTTACAAAAAATTAACAGGAAGTGCACTTTTGTTTCTGCGGAGCCTAACTATGATTCTTTTCAAGTAAACACTGAGATAGAACTTTCAGAACACAAGAGACAATACTGAGTTAAAATCTTAAGGGTAGAGTTTTTAAAAATAGTTCATCCAAACAATATTAAATAATATTGTTCTTATCCACCCAAGCTTCAGCCCCTTGCTTGTGAGAGTTCTTCTTTTCTTTTATCTTCTTTTTATTGATCAAATGTCAAAGCAAATCAGACACCACACACCCACTGGGGAAAAACAGTACTCTGAAACTTTAAAAACTTCTATTTTGCAGAAATGATGGAAGTGTTAAAACCCCGTAATAACTCCATTACCTCCTCTGAGAGAGTCTCACTGTCCAGATTACTCTCCTTTTCAAACAGCAACAGTAAACAATTAAGAAAGCAACATTCAGGGCAGTTCTTATAAAATCCTTGCAAGGTTTTGTGAAAATCTTCTAGAAAAGATACAGGGTGATTTCAGGACATGTATTATTAGAGTAACTTCAGCCTCTTTACAAATACACCCAATATTTCTATATCGCATAAAAAATTATAAAAGTTGCTCTGTCACCAAACAGCCCCAGGCAGGTGCTCCCAGTCACCCAGAGTGGCTCTGCCCCTCGGGCACCCCGGCTAACAAGAGCTCTGCTGTCTTCATCTTTTGGCCTCCAAGGCTGGCTTTGTCATTTCCTGGCATTTGGCTAGAATGGCAAAAAAGAGCATGAAAGATTGCTCACTGCACATTCTTATGGGTTCGTAAAACACATCACTTGGATCCATACTCTGTTCACTAGAACTCAGTTGCGTGGTAAATATCAGCGAGCTTCAGGCCTATAAAGGAGAATTTGACCAGTGATCTCCAAAAACATACGGAAAGGAAGCTGATTTTGATAAAATATATATATACATATTTCCAAGGAGAGAGAAGTGTTAGACAATAATTAGAAAACATATATCAGAAGCAGTGAGTGAGTGGAACTGACATTGCAGAAAAGCAAGTAGGTATTATGGACAGCAAACTTGAGAAACACTTTCAAATGCATAGAAAGAACAAAGAATTGAAACTATCATATTTCACTGATTCTAAAATGGCCATTTTTCCATGTTGACACTTTGGGAGTCAGGCTGCCTTACAATCAGTGGCATCGTACGATCACTGTGACCCAGCGAGCTGTCCTGGTGAGGTCGGTAAGTCCTGGGCATGGGTGAACCTGGTCTCAGCTGCTCATGTTGTGAGCCCTGTAATTGAGTTATGTACATTGTTGGGATTACATGCAAGTTTAATTGCCATTTCAAATGTTTTTTAAAAGATTACACCATGATTTGGCATTGAAACAAGGAGTTATTGTGTATGCGGATAGGCGTGGAATCAGAGCAGCAGGATGTAATTTGATGTCACTGAAGCAAATATGTTATTGGAGCAGTGACTGAAATTCTTTTTTTTTTCTTTTAAGAGAAACCAAGTGGCATAGAGCACCCAAGAAAGGGAAGAGAAGTTATCCTTAAGTTCAAGCTATGTTACGTTTGTAACTGAGATGCCATCAGAAAAGACTGCCTGTCACATGCCCAGCAATGCAGCTGAGGGCAGGAGGAGCTAACTGCCAAATCCCCCACACAGATGAAACATTTCGAAACACAAGACTGGAATAATCAATTTACCAGTTTCACAGGATTCTAATTATGGCATCGTGTCACAGTTTAACCGGCAGCATTTTTTCTTTCTTAGTTGTATGTAAAGTAATAATGTTTCTTAAAATCAATACTACCTCAGGTTCAGTAAAATACAAAAATTAAAAAAGGAGATGATAGCTATTTTATTAGAGATAAGGTCATCTCAAATTAGCCTAATTATTAGGCTTAGAGATTCAGCCTAAGAATTACATTCCTAAGGAAGAATCCAGGACAATCAAAAGAGAAACAATAATTGAAGATATAATTAAAGAAAACTTTCCAAAAAGGGATGGGAAGAGGGGAACCTGAGAGGAATGGAATGGGTTCACTGGGCTCCAGGTAATGGTAACTGAGACTCAGACCTAGAAATATCCCAGCAAGTTGTTAAGTTATAAACAAATAAAAAATGTTTTCTATATATATTCTAAGCAAAAAAAAAAAGGAGATGAAATGCCTACAAAGGAATAAAACTCATGATGCCTGATCCGCTCTTCTACAATGACAGAGGAACATCTGCAGAGTCTTGACACGAAAAGATTTAGACTCAAGAATTCTACTCACAGGTAAGTCAAAGTTTTTGAGAGGAGACGACAAAAAAGATAATCATAAGAGCTCAAAATACCTGCCACTCATAGAGTCTTCTTAAAATCACTTTAAAATATATTCCAACTGTCGGGGTGACAAGTTAAAATTAAGAGCTCAGGTATGGGGATGATACAAAAGGACATGCAGTGAGCGCTGAGCGCACTGAACAGGGGTAGGTGTGAAATGACCATTTAAATAAAATCACGAGACAGAATGTGAGTGTCAAAAACACTAGAGCCAGGAGATATACAACATCAAAAATAATGTAATAATAACTCAGATCCCAAAGCCACACTGACGCAATAAGCCTGCAGGTAGAAAGGGGGGCAGAGGGAAATAAAAGCGTACAAAAGTCTTCATCCTACACAGTGGTGAGCCTACAAATTCCATTTTATTTGTGACTCTACCAATCAAAGAAATACTGATTGGCGTTCACACACATTTTTAGAAACAAATTACACATAACAGTAGGGAGCTGTCCTTAAAAAAACAAAACCTCACTCCTGCCTCAAGGTATTCAAGCTTGACCTCTGGACAAAGTACAGGATAGATTTTAATTTGTTACAAGAATAAACAAATGTTAAATTCCTTGGAAAGCCTGTGGTAAACCAGACCTCACTGCCAACCGGTATTTTCTAGTCCTTCTGGTAGAAGTTTCTTGAAACTTGGCCTGAAGGGTAGAGTTCTTGTTCACCGCGGTGCCTCTGCCCCCGAGGCCAGGGTCCCCTCTCTCTCCCAGGTCAGTGTAAGTCATGACCGACCTCGAGCTGGACAGCCTTCTTCAACAGCATCGCTGGTGTCAGAGAAAGAGACCAACACAGTGACCGCAGGGACGCTGTCCAGGTACCTGGCGTCACACAGCCCTGAGGCCTGCAGTCAGTACAATACCCACCGCCCACTGAAGGCTCACAACAGCCGTCCAGCTGGGCACCATTTTTGCAATTTTACAGATCGTAAACTGAGGCTCAGGTTGTTTCCAGAATTACACGGCCAGTAAGCGTGTGCCAGAGAGGGATCTCCCGGCCAGGAATGTCCCGCTCAGAGGTTCTTCGCGGGTCCCACACCATTTGTCTGATTCAAAGAGAGAAGATAGAGGGAAAGAGTGGAAAGATTAATTTCACAATTTAGTGACGTCTTAGAAGAGGTGCTTCCTCTTTCCCCAAATAATAACAACAAGCAGTAAGGCATGTTGGTAAGGGCCCTGCGCGCCCCCTGGGAACCCCGTGCCCTTCCCCTGCCCGGGGTGGGGGGGCGGGTAGAGCAGATCAAGTCAGTGGTTCACCCTGAAGAGTCCAAAACCCAGTGCACTGCTCCTCCCAGAGGCCTGGGGCGGGAACAGCACTGCAGACAAAAGAAAGCGTCTCTAATACTGGGTTTTTGACACCGGCAAGGGCGTTATTTCGCGTAGCCCCGACCCCCACCAGAAAAACGGCCTTCGCATCACACCGTATTGACCCGCGCTCCTTGCGACGCTGCGCATCGAGGGCCTCGGCTCCCCTCGGTGCTACCGAACCCACGGACTGCTCCCCGCTCTCGGCACAGGGCCAGGCGGGCCGCCTCTCGGGGCCGCGCCGGCCGCCAGGGCCTCCTGCGCGCCCCCGAAGCCCCCGCCCGAGTCCGCGCGCCCCCGACACACCCGAGCCCCCCGCGCGCCCCGACACGCCCTAGCCACATCCGCGCCCCCTCGAGACGCCAGAGCCCCCCCCCGCGCGCCCCCG